TGGTGGGGGGGGGGTGGGGTGGTGGTGGGGGGGGGGGGGGGGGGGGGGGGGGGGGGGGGGGGTGGGGGTGGGGGGGTGGGGGTGGGGGTGGGTGTGGGTGTGGGTGTGGGTGTGGGTGTGGGTGTGGGTGTGGGTGTGGGTGTGGGTGTGGTTATGGAAGTGAATGATAATAGTAACACCCACACCCACACCCACACCCACACCCAACACCGACACCCACACCCCACACACACCCACACAACCACACCCACACCCTCAAGTATAACAGATTAACGGTCTATGTGCTAGCGCAGATCATAGAAACATCGTAAGAGATATACGCAAACGAATTATGAGTTGATTTGAAGTTGGACATATATATACGTCGCCCGTCCCCAAAGGGTTAATAATCACAATTATAGTCGAAACATCATTCAAGAATACTTAGTAGTTTATTGAAGAACTATGATGGATAATTTCCTGAAGAGCAATTTACTTTATGCATTGCCATCGGCATGCCCAAAGCATTATTGATATAGAAGGATGAAATCAATGATTTGAAACGGTGGTATCAAACTGAATGCTTTGCCTTTTCCTATAGCTCCAGATGAACCTCTCAATGCATGTGAATGTTCCCCATTGGATTGTATAGTAATACCAGTTTTTCCGACAGGAATCGAATGCGTATGTTGCCCTAATCCAGCGCCACCGCCATGATAATCCAACCAGGGTGTGGGTGTGGGCGTGGGTGTGTGGGGTGCTGGTGTGTGTGTGTGCGTGTGGGTGTGTGAGTGGGTGTGGGTGTGTGGGGTGTGGGTGTGGGTGTGGGTGTGTGGGGTGCTGGTGTGTGTGTGTGGGGGTGTGGGTGTGGTCGGGTGTGGGTGTGGGTGTGGGTGTGGGTGTGAGTGGGTGTGGGTGGGTGTGGGTGTGTGTGGGTTATGCTGTGGCTGTGGCTGTGGCTACTGATCATCGTATTTATTCTATATCCACACCCACACCCAGACCCCACACCCGCACCCACACCCACACACCCACACCCGCACCCACACACCCACCCACACCCACACCCACACCCACACCCAACTGATAAAATGCATGTGCAATCAACAGTTTACGAAAAGACTGAAACATTTACTCACGTCGACTCATTTTGACGCCGAATAATTTATATTGGAATATGCTACGTTTATTACTAATTATCCTAATCACCTTTTCAATTTGTCCTTCAAGAATATACCATTTTCTTTTGGGTTTTATTGAATGCATCTACTTTTATTATACAATTTTTTGCTATTAGAAAGCCAAGGTACATTAGTGTGCAGCACTGTCCTTGAAACACCCTACTGTAGCTGTTCATGATTGGAATGAAACACATTTTTATAAAAAGTTCGATTTTTTTCGATCTAATAGTTTTCTTCTAGTTTTTATGCTCTAGCTGATTATTCGTTACAAATAGTGCTGATAGAGTCTCCTTTGAACAGTAAAAAATTCAAACAACAATACTACAGTATTTTTCTATCATATTTATTAGTGTAATACGTTGCTCTCAGTAGCTTTTTATTCGAACAAAATATTATAAGCATTTATTGGTCAGTATAGAAATAAAATTTGTTATCCCGAAGGTCTTCATTTTCAATGGCTAACACTAATCTCAGTATGTAGATTTCGATTTTCTATGCCGATTTAAGTTTTCTATCCGAGTTCCTTCCAATATCTTCATACTAAGCACAAAAATTCATGTTTATCTTCCGTCAGTTTTGGTGTCATTAGTATCTATACTGATGTATTGTAAAAATAAAACATATTGCTAATGTAAGAACATCGATAATTGATCAAGACTACTTACCAGCCGATATCGAAATGTTTACTTTGTAATGCGAGTCTACAAGGGACATTATTCACATTTATAGTTCTCGGCATTTCTTTTCGTTTTTTCAAACATACAAAATTTACCTGAATCAACCGAGTGTGACATTTTTATTTGACTCCTTCTTTTTTCACATTAATACATATCGTTCGACGTACAGCACGTGCTTACCGTACGCTTCCTCCATTTTTGCTTCACGTTCTTTCCCAGTGACAAAAACAATCAAACGATGGGTATCTCATCACTTTTCTCATCGATTTATGATGAGTAGGAGATTGAGTCTAGCCATATAAGGTTTCCCAAATGCACAACTTTGACTTCATTGTATGATGGGTGTGAAGGCACTAGTACAATTCGTCGCAATCAATTCGTCGCAGAGCAATATTTTCATTCTGTTCGTCGCAGAATAATTTTTATCGTTCTGCTCGTCACTATCTATTCTTGACATATCACTTAATAAATTCCGTTTCTTTTTATATAGCTAATCCCAATAAAATAGACGAATGAAAAATTAAAAAAATCAATCGAACTAAGATTTCTTTAAAACCTACTTCTATGTTAGTCGATGTTTATTGAAGAGAAACATATTATCTTCAACCAAGAGGCAAGCTCGTTGCCCTTTTTTGTACTGTTTCACAAATACATTCTTCAAATTTCAAATATTTAAATATACGATATTCAAAATTATTGATCATTCAAGTAAAAAGAGTAACGAATAAAGTAGAATAACAAGCATTTTCAAGAAAATATAACATTGAATTGCCATCATCGTGATCATCGATTTAATGAAAAACATAGTCAATCGAACTTTCTTGAGCGCTTAAGCAGCTGACAGCAATATATTATCTATTAAAATACCACTACTAGGATTTTTATGTATGCATGCATGTGCCGTAATATTTTCAGATACTTAACGCTTAGTATCATCTAAAAAAATCCGTTCATAGTTAATTTTGAATTTTTTCACGATTTGCAAGCACTCCTACCTCTGTTTGCGCCAATGATGAATTATTTGCAAAAATATCAAGTGTCATTTCAGATCAACTTTTTCTTCATATTTGGTAAGAAGTATGATATTTAAGGGATTTCTCATCGTGTAATCATATTCGCAACAATTTCGAAAATATTTCAAGAGATTTTGAGACATTTTAAATCCCATAAACTACTTTTTCCGTCTTTTTTGCAATTTTTTTATACTCAAATTCTTCATTCTGATTTCATGTGTAATGCACAAAATAAAGAAGAATTAATTGATCAGTTTCATACTTTTGAAAAAAAAACATGAATTAAGTGATATGTCAAGAATACATAATGACGAGCAGAACGAAAAAATTTGCTCTGCGACGAAGTGATCGGTCACCGGATGCGAGGAAGCTGCTATGATCAAGATATCGCCATTGCTTAAGGGACTCATTCAGATGACTAGGTGGGTGTAGGGTGTGCCTGGGGGTTTGCAGGAGTGGGAGAGTGGATGTGGGTTGTGGGTGTCTCTATATTAAAAGTAACACCCACACCCTGGACTCGCTAGATGGTCAGTCTCGGTGATGGTGTGAGTGTCGGGATATTTCTCCTATTTACATCAACACCCACACGCAAACTACCAATAAGAAATCATTATAATAATAATTCATACTGAATGCGTTATTATTTAAGGTACTCTGTAATTACAAAATAATTTAATTACATTATTCCCATCATAAGTCATTTTTAATCAAACTTTATGAAAAAATCACTACACCGCTTAGATACCATTAAAACCATGCTTCTCAGACCCGATCATTTCACAAAAATATTGCTCAGCTTAACTCTTTCTGTAGAGGTTTGTACAAGCTTCTATTACCATCAGTTGTGTTTCTGGTATTGATCTTTATGCATAATATCATTTCGACTATAGCTACTAGATGCTCACTCATATCGCCGTTTGTTCAAGAAACTCAATGCTATTCATATGGTCATTTCTATTCTCGATATGTTCATTTGTAACATGACTGTAACCACATAAAGCATCCTTATGATAACTAATGCCATGCTCCTCTGTACCATGGTCGTTTATTTCGTCTTCATTTGTACCATGTGTTACAGATAGACAGACAGGTAAATTTCAGATAGTAGACCCTACACGTATCTTGTCAGTCTAGGGAACATATATTTTGCATACATCTTTTGTTTTACTAAAAATGAAGACCTTGAGATTTTCAAGAGCCGAGAGTGTGTGGGCATGGATGCGGATGAATACGAAGACCACGACACACACCAAAAAGCACACTCGACCACATGCTCGAGACTCATGAGCTGCTTTAGTCAGTTCATACATTTAGATTTCTGTTTTCTTTGTTGAAAAACTAAGGAGGAAAGTAAGTATTACGATCACTTCAGTATATATTATAGTTATGGTAATCGAAGTTTCGCAGAAGCAAATAGTAAGTCCATGTAAAACCTGGCCACACTGTATTATTGTTTCCTTTGGCGTCTTGATACCAAGAACGGCATCCGCCGGTTTGCCAAACTGTTTTCTTTAGTTTTGATTGTAGTTCTTGATTGTATCGATCATGAACATTTTGTTTGATTGAAAGCGATTTAATCCCATTCTTATTCATGAAAATAAGCGCTTCAACGATGTAGTTCAATTGAGCTTCGATCAGAAATACACCAGAATTGTGTCCAATGGCTGAATTAGGGCCTAGTAAAATAAAAAAATTTGGAAAGTTGACAACTGTTACGCCACGATATGCCTAACACGAAATAAAATAAACTTGCAGATTCTTCTCTTACACATATTCAAAATACAAACCTGCATACTTTCTCGCCATTGTTCATGAAGTGAACATCCATTAATCCCCATCATGGGCAACGGAATTTTTTGCACTTGAAATCCAGTAGCCCAAATGATTATGTCAACTGGATATTCAACATTGTCGGAAGTAACTATGGAGTGTTGTTTCATTTCCCGAATTTGATCGATCACAACTGTCACATTTTGTTTTTGTAATGTTGAATACCAATCATTCGATATGAGCACTCGCTTGCAGCCAAGTTCCCATGATGATGTGAGCTTCTTCCGAAATGCTTCATCTTTGACTTGTCGCTTAAGGTTAAATTTTACCAGCTCTTGAAAAATGTACCGAATGGGCCAACGATAGACAAATGAGAGTACGGCCGATTCGGCTGTCCAATATATTACACCACGAATCAGTTTTTGAAAGTTCGGAAAGCGTGTAAACAGTCGTTTTTCCCATTGTGTCATTTGCCGGTCAATGCGAGGAATTATCCATGGTGGTGTACGCTGAAAAACGATCAGTTGAGATGTATTCATCTTGTAGATTTCTGGCACTATCTGTATAGCACTTGCACCAGTTCCTACGACAGCTACACGTTTTTTGTTGAAATCGATTTTGGCATTTCATTGAGCGGAATGACACATTTCTCCTTCAAAAGAACCAATACCAGGAATATCCGTAGGAAATGATGCATTCGACAGACCACCACAGCCCGATACCAGCGTTCGACTGAAGAAATATTTCTCTTGACCGTTCGATTGTGCGGTTACTTGCCAAAGTTGTCGGTCATCCAGCCACTTACAATCAATAACAGTGGTCTCGAATTGAATATGTTGGCGAATATGATATTTATCTGCACAATATTTCAAGTATGCTTCAATCTCTGCTTGACGAGCGAAGAAATCGGACCAGTTTGGATTGGGTTCAAATGAAAATGAATACAACGTCGATGGAATGTCACATGAACAGCCTGGATATCGATTATCATACCATGTGCCACCGAGATGAGATCGCCTTTCCAAGATTACATAGTTGTCCTGACCAAGCTCATTTAATTTCACAGCCATACCAACACCCGAAAAGCCAGCTCCAACGATGATTGTGTAGTATTCCCCGTTGGTGTCCTCTTTGGAGTTGTTGGATCTGCATTTGGTTGAGCTTTTATTTCGATCAAGTGACTCGAATAAGACCCAATTGAATAGTTGACCGGTGAAACCGAGGATCACAAAAGTACTCGTTACCACATAAGCACATATTGCTAGTATCAACAAATACAAATTGGATGACACCTTTCTGCTCATCTAAGAAACGTTCAAAATCATTGAATGTTACAGTTAATTACTGGGTGTAAAAGGAAAACGATGAAAAAACAGTGATTATTTCTTTTTATTCATTTTACATTGTGATATCCTCGAGTTTGACGTGTAGGAATTCTTTAGTTTTAATTACTATTTTTACTGAGAATATGACGAAAATGGTGGTCATCTGTTAGACAATATGCAAAACTTACAAAACAATAACTGATGTACTAGGACTAATTTTTTTTCGAAGACATCTGTCTACATTTCAGTCATCATAGAATAGAGTTCTTTTTATTGTATTATTTAAAAAGGTCTCTTTTTTTATCAGCTCGAGGCTTATCAGAGAAGATAAGTGTTTGTATCCTTCGGTGACTAGGCGAAAACAGTGTCTAAGTAAAGAACAAAAATATTTTAAGAAAGGAAAAAAAATGAAATAACTGAATTCATTGTTGATTCTAAAGAAAAAACTGATTAGTTAAAATAAGGTAAAAAATGGCATACTTCAGAGACACATATTTGAGTAGGGTTCAAAAGTTCAAAATGGGATACGGTTGGCAGTCTGGTGCAGATTTCAATTGTGCAGCTTGCTATGTCAACAGGAGGTTGATATCAATTTCTTAGTACGATGGGGCGAAGGGCGCCCTAAAATGACGAACACAAGAGATCGCGTTCGAACAACACTGAGAAATGAAACAAAATCGAGCAGTTCTTAATATAGAATGGAAGTGGAATGAGTGGAATTGAGACAGAGTCCAAAGGATTTGCGGGATACAGGACCAGGACTGGAACCATAACCAGGCCTTGCGATTTCGATAAGCGGGATTTAAGGATGTGGGTGTGCGTGTGGATCTTAATCTCTTATTTATCTGTACTCACAGTCACCTTCGCATCTGCACCCGAATCCATCCACATCCTGCGCCTCACACTCACATCCAGTTCATTACTGTTTAGAATATCATAAAAATCAAATATTTAGCTGTGTGAGTGATTCGATAGATGGTAGACGTTGAATTTCGTGTAGACACTACGAAAGAGAAATAGGATGTTTATTTAAGATAACATATCCTGAGACTAGGGGTGTCATTTACCATTTAATTTAAAATAAATGTAAATTACTTATTACTTATATTTATTTTTACATGTAAATTTTTTACTTTTCATGATTTGTCGAATATAACTAAAAGTAAAGTCCCATATTTCTGTATGATACTTTACATAAAAAATATCCTAGTCTTGATATTATTTTTGTGTCTAATTTATTTGTTCTACTATCTTTTCATTCAATTAACTGTTATTAATTTGGAAAAAGATCTCTCTACTTATCGTGATGGCTTTTTCAAAGAAAAATCAAATCAGACTTTACGAACTAGGGAAAAAGAAAACTCCATAGTGTCAATGCAAAGTTTAAAACATTTTTCGTCAACTACACACATTAGAAATCACAAATTATTTTTGATCAAATGTAGTTAGAGCTTCTAGATACAAAAGTAGGCTTCTTCTACATGGCAAAGTTTTATTCCAATCTTATTAAGTGACGAATTAATGCTAATTTTCGAACATTTCTCATATATAACAAATATTCATTAGGTTTTTCCAAATAGTTTTTTGGATGAGTAAGAGGAATATTTTAAGACATACCATGTTTACTCTTGGGTGTGGGTGTACATACTCTGATCCGATTCACACCCACACCCACACCCACACCCACACTCACACTCACACCCACACCCACACCCACACTCACACTCACACTCACACCCACACCCACACCCACACCCACACCCACACCCACACCCACACCCACACCCACACCCACACCCAC